TTTTTTCGACCTCGAGTTTTCGACGGATTTTTACGTTTTGAGGTCCCCTGAATCCGTTTTGACTATTTTCGCGATGATGTCTGTGTGTGTGTCTGTGTGTGTGTGTGTGTGTCTGTATAACGCATAACTCATGAACCGATACACGGAAAAACACCAAATTTCAAACTTAAGCTTTGTTCCAGCGTCTAATGAGCTGATTAGATTTTGGGCAGAGTCGGAACATCTGGGGGGGTACTTTATAGGTGGTCATTTTTATATTTCATGGAATATATCTGTTATTTACGTTTGGAGAAGAAAATTCTTCAAATAAAAGTTGCTTTTAATATAATTATCTATAATTTTTGTTCTATGCAAAATTTTCCTTAAATGGTCCGTATTCGAGAAATTTGACAAAATGTAAAAAAAATAATTTTTTATAAAAATTGTTCAAATAAAAGTTGTTTGTAATATAATTCTCTATAATTTTTATTTTATACATAATTTCTCTAAAATGGACCGTATTCGAGATATTTGAGAAAATGTGTAAATTTCGAATTTTGAAGAAAACTCAAAAACGGATAAAGAAAAAAACATTAAATTTTAAACTTAAGGTTTATTTCGGCCTGACGTGAAATGATTAGATTTTAGACATAGTCGGAACATCTGGGGGGGTACTTTATGGGAGGCCACTTTTATATTTTATGGAATATATCTGTTATTAATGTTTGGAGAAAAAAATTGTTCAAATAAAAGTTACTTCTAATATTATTATCTATAATTTTTGTTTTATGTAAAAATTTCCTGAAATGGTCCGTATTCGAGAAATTTGACAAAATGTGCAAAATTCTGAATTTTATGAAAGTTTTTGAAATAAAAGTTGTTTGTGATATCGATCTCTATAATTTTTGTTTATACATGATTTTTCTAAAATGGACCGTAATGAAAAAATTGTAGGAAATTTAAATTTTTCAGTATTTTCGTTTTCCATGAATATCTATAGAAAAATGTTTCGAGGTAGATGTATGTGGACAATGTATATATTTAGTTTATCCTCTAAACATTTATAGAGATGCTGCAATAGGTTGTACAAAATAACTGGAAAAAGCCTATAATAACTAGATAGGAAAGTCATGTGTTGGACACATCAGATTTTTTTACTTTCCTATCTGTATACAGATATAAGGAAAGTATAGGAATCATGATTTTTTTCGACCTCAAGTTTTCGACGGATTTTTACGTTTTGAGGTCCCCTGAATCCGTTTTGACTATTTTCGCGATGATGTCTGTGTGTGTGTGTGTGTGTGTGTGTGTGTGTGTGTGTGTGTGTGTGTGTGTGTGTGTGTGTGTGTGTGTGTGTGTGTGTGTGTGTGTGTGTGTGTGTGTGTGTGTGTGTGTGTGTGTGTGTGTGTGTGTGTGTGTGTGTGTGTGTCTGTGTGTGTGTGTGTGTGTCTGTGTGTGTGTGTGTCTGTATAACGCATAACTCACGAACCGATACACGGAAAAACACCAAATTTCAAACTTAAGCTTTATTTCAGCGTCTAATGAGCTGATTAGATTTTGGGCAGAGTCGGAACATCTGGGGGGGTACTTTATTAGTGGACATTTTTATATTTTATGGAATATATCTGTTATTTACGTTTGGGGAAGAAAATTTTTTAAATAAAAGTTACTTCTTATTTTATTATCTATAATTTTTGTTATTTACAAAATTTTCCTAAAATGGTCCGTATTCGAGAAATTTGACAAAATGTAAAAAAATATTTTTTTTTATAAAAATTGTTCAAACAAAAGTTGTTTGTAATATAATTCTCTATAATTTTTGTCCCATAGATAATTTCTCTAAAATGGACCGTATTCGAGATATTTGAGAAAATGTGTAAATTTCGAAATTTGAAGAAAACTCAAAAACGGATAAAGAAAAAATCAATAAATTTTAAACTTAAGTTTTATTTCGGCTTGACGTGAAATGATTAGATTTTGGACAAAGTCGGAACATCTGGGGGGGTACTTTATGGGAGACCGTTTTTATATTTTATGGAATATATCTGTTATTTATGTTTGAAGAAAAAAATTGTTCAAATAAAAGTTACTTCTAATATTATTATCTATAATTTTTGCCTTATGTAAAAATTTCCTGAAATGGTCCGTATTCGAGAAATTTGACAAAATGTGCAAAATTCTGATTTTTATGAAAATTGTTGAAATAAAAGTTGTTTGCGATATCGATCTCTATAATATTTGTTCATACATGATTTTTTTTAAATGGACCGTAATGGAAAAATTGTAGGAAAAGTGCTAAATTTAAATTTTTCAGTATTTTCATTTTCAATGAATATCTATAGAAAAATGTTTCGCGGTAGATGTATGTGGACAATGTATATATTTAGTTTATCCTCTAAACATTTATAGAGATGCTGCAATAGGTTGTACACAATAAACGGAAAAAGCCTGTAATAACTAGATAGGAAAGTCAGTTTGGATTCATTTCTCCTAGTAACAATTTGTTACTGATTATATTTTTATAATATTAATATGTCGAGTCTGGAATGTATGCAGCACCGTACTTTTAGTTTATTTTACGGTTAAATATATCTTGTGTTTTTAACAGATGACACAATGGTTGTCTGAGTGAGATCAATTCTAAAAACCCCGCTGTATGGACGCTTATTTCGGCACAAAAATAAGTGAACAGCTGACCCGACAACCTCCTAAAGAAAGGAAAAAATTCAACTTAACAATATGGATGACGATCATATAGAATTAACTATACAGGGTGATTCACATAAGAACCGACATAGAGCAGGGGCATATAGGGGGTCCCAAAATATGGCAATTTAACGCAACTTACCTCTATACCAAGTTGCTTCCCTAAGGAGTTATAGGCTTTGAAAGTGAAGTTATAAATTTTGAAAAAAATCAATATCTCCGTTATTCTTGAACTTAAAGCAACCAAATTTGGTACACTTTGTGGATGTATTCAGGGCGTTACTTGACAGTAACTAGAGTTTAATTGAAATTTGTAAAGGGGGTATACTGGGTGGCGCACCATTAATATTCAACAGAATTTTGTTAACCCTTGATGGATTTTAAAAATCTTTGCTTTGTTTTGTGGGCAATTCAATTCTTAAACTTTTCTTACTCAGTAATTTTTCGAAAAAACTCATCATTTTCATCAAAAACTCGAATAACTTAAAACGCGCGCTCTAGGTGTGTTATTTAAAATCATCGAACATTCAAATGTGACTTCTTTCTGTGGGGAACGTTGAAAGAATTTGTGTATTCTTCGCCCGTTGCGTCTCAAGAAGAATTATGGAATCGCATTATTCATAAATGCACATCTATTAGGAATAATCAACAGTTATTAGATAGGGTGGATTTTAATTTTCGAAGAAGAATAAATTTATGCGTAAGAGAAAACGGCGATCATTTTGAACAATTTCTTTAATTTATCGATAAACAATTGTTTGTTCTGGTTGTTGTTTAAGTTTTTTGTGTTTATTTTGGTTAGTTGTTAATCCCAGTTTTTCACATTTCAGTATCTGTACTTACTTTAAGTTATTTTGTTACGTATCTAAATAATAATTTGCCAGCCAATTCCTACTGATCACATTAAATGACCTACTTTCTTGTTTGACGTTTATTTTCATAGCCAACTTTTGAATTTTCGCTGATTTTAAATAACACACCTAGAGCGCGCGTTTTAAGTTATTCGAGTTTTTGATGAAAATTATGAGTTTTTTCGAAAAATTACTAGAGTAAGAAAAGTTTAAGAATTGAATTGCCCACAAAACAAAGCAAAGATTTTTAAAATCCATCAAGGGTTAACAAAATTCTGTTGAATATTAATGGTGCGCCCCCAGTATACCCCCTTTACAAATTTCAATTAAACTCTAGTTACTGTCAAGTAACGCCCTAAATACATCCACAAAGTGTACCAAATTTGGTTGCTTTAAGTTCAAGAATAACGGAGATATTGTTTTTTTTCAAAATTTATAACTTCACTTTCAAAGCCTATAACTCCTTAGGGAAGCAACTTGGTATAGAGGTAAGTTGCGTTAAATTGCCATATTTTGGGACCCCCTATATGCCCCTGCTCTATGTCGGTTCTTATGTGAATCACCCTGTATAATAGATATATATATATAGTCAGAATTATGTAATTGAAATAGAAAATTGGCTAGTTCAGGTTCTGAACTTCAGAATATCGTTTTAAAAATGTTTATTTTTTATGAAGTTCCAAAAAACTACTGTAGCTGGCGGGTGGCAAAATAACGACGTCTATTTTCTATGCAAGTCAATGGGAATTAAAGTGATTTTTGTCAAATTTAGTGAAAAGAATAAAAATAAGCTGAAATAACGAACCTGACTACAAGTAACAATGAGTAACAAAAAACGACAAAGCAGGATTTTCTTCGTGCCGGGTTGTAAAACGGGATATAAATCCGATATAAAATTAAAGAAATCACAAGGAGATAAAAATCCAAGTATTTTTAAAGCTCCTAGTGTAAGTAAAATAATGTATTTATTTCTAAATAATATATATTTATTGTAAAATAGTCACAACCCGTATCTTACGGAGTGTAGTTTATTTAATTACAAAACTCTATAATAAAAAATAATAAAGTCATTAATCCTGACTTACAAACAACAATAATTACACATTAAATTTAACTTACTAGAAAAGAAAATTTTCTTTTTTTATGTTTTTTGATGTTAGATGAAGAGTTACTACTGTTATTTTTCTTTATTTTGACAAAATTATGTATAATTTTCATAAGAAGCCATGTATTTTGAACTACCTACGTAAACCGTATATACCAGCGCCTATGCGGTTAATTATAAGCTCAATTGACGTGTGATTTTTGGGACCGTATTTTGAGCATGCTGATTCGCCTCCTTATCTCTAGTCTTCATACGCCCCCATTTGATTCTAGATCCGTTACCGCCCCTTTAGAGAGTTCCAGCGCCCACTGGGGGACGGTATCGCCCCCGTTGGGAACCTATGCCTTAGATGAATGACATGTACTCAATGTGTACCTATTTAACACATGATTTTGACATATTTATTATGTCATCCTCTCATGAGATTTTTTTGTGTTACCCGTAATTACTGTAGTTTTTATTATAATCCAAAGCTCTACAACACTTACCTGAATGTCTCAATTTACTAGAAAAATCATTCAAATTCGAAAGAATATTAAAGCTGCCGTATTAATATCTATTATTAACCCGTTATCTAGACATTTAAACAAATCTTCAATTGTATTGCATCTCAATAATGTTCCTAAGGGTCCAATAGGCACATTATTTAGCAAGAAATATTTAGCAGCTACTAATATTGTGAGTACAGCTATTTTGATGTTGATGGGTGATATTGGAAGACAAGAGATGGAATACCAACAGAAACTAATAGAAAAGCGCTATGATTGGGCAAGAGCTGGTAAGAGCTCGTTATTTTAAAAAATCCACAAATTATACATGCCTTTAACATCGTTGAATCTCAAATACAAATTAACCTAATGAATTAAAATTATTTTGAATTCTTTTTAATGGGTAATTTATTTTTAGCTAGAATGTTTACAGTGGCTTTAGTTTTAGTAGGACCCATTGGTCATTACTACTATTCATGGCTGGCAAGAACATGGCCTCAAAGGTCAGTACAAATTGTAATGTTTAAAATAATATTCGATCAATTCGTCATATCTCCAGTAAACATTACTGCATTCTTTTTCGGAATGAGCGCTCTAGAAATGAAAAATTTCTTTGAAGCTGTTCAGGAACTTCGAGAAAAATTCATAACTATATATACAGTAAGCACATTTATTTTATTTACGTTTATATGTATATACAGGACGAATCTTAAGTTGATGCTTTATTTTTAAATGTATATAGAAATCGTTAAAGTAATAAATATCTTTTTCAAATACCATTTAAAAAAAAAATCAAAAATAAGAAAGATACACAGAAAAAAAGGTGTACTATATTCAAGATGAATCGAGATACGGGCCTGGATTTGTGTGTGAAAAGTTAAGCTCAGAGCCAGTTTTTTCACCTTTGAGTCAAGTAACCCTCAGGAGTGAGAATTATGTTCATGTTTTTATCTTTTTTAACACCTCTTTTTTCATGAATCACACTCATTGCCTACCAGTTATTGTAATTCAGTCACGTGTGATTTTAGTATCGTGTTTATCTGAAGAAGTAAATTTCAATTGTTCAGTGTTGTAAATTATGACAACAAAATGAACTTGATGGCACGTTATATATTTATGGTGAGTATCTTCAGAGTGAAGTTGATGCCGCATAGGTGTTGTACAGTGAATACTTTCTATTGCGAGTCCAAGTTAGTACCATAACTTCCCTTAATCTGACTCAACGGGCTAGGGATACGAGTGATTTGTTGTAACATCGTGAAGGATATCTAAAAAGACCGAAAAGACCTGAAGTGTGTGTGTGTGTGTTGAAGTGAATGACGACAACTTTTATCACATATTTAAGTTAATGTAAGTTTCTTATTTTTTAGTTTATTGAAAAAGTTATTTGAAATAGTTTTTTATATTAAGAATAAGTAAAAAAAGAATCAGCTTACAAGTCATCCTGTATATTGGATGGAAGTCCAAGGATTACATAGCTACTTAAACAAACTTTCACATTTTTAACTTTTTGTATTGATGATGCTATGAATGATTAAATAGGCAGTTCTCCTACCAACTGCTAGATATAGGACATTTTGTTTTTTAACATGAATCAAGGACTATTTTGGAGTCCAACACATATCCATAAGGAAGACTAGCGTTAAGGTCTATGCCCACTATACCGGATCATACTATGACCGTGACCGTACCGGCATAGGCAGAAAAATATTCTTTGTATAGATTTAAATGAGACAATGCCCACTAGACCGGCCCGGCATCGACCACACCATCCTCATTTGAATATATACAAAAAAAAATCAGGTCCGGACATGGTCATAGTATGGTACGGTATAGTGGGCATAGACCTTTAATGTTATTAATAGTAATTAATCCACTTTTTATGGTGAAATTCCAGGCTATTGCTGATTTTTTTAATTTTTATTTTTAGGCAGATTGGTGTGTATGGCCCCCAGCGCAGTTTTTAAATTTTTATATTATCCCTGTTAGATACCAAGTGATTTATATAAATATAGTAACATTGTTATACAGCTTTATCTTATCATATGTTAAGCATATGCCTATGAAAAAATAGATATAAACTAATAGACTATTCATTTAATTTGGGAAAAATGTTGTTACAAAAAATACACCAAAAAAAAATTGAAAAGCTGAGAAATAAAGAAAAGAAAAACTAAGTTCATCGTCTATCAGGAATCGAACCTTCCGACTAGAACCGTCAGCGTCTCTACCAACTGGACCACCGAAACACATACCTGGTTAACCGGCATTACTTAATCGTGTACATTTATTACTTATTTTATACTTGGAATTGTCTATGATTCGATCTTTCTTTACCTTCTTAATCCCCAATAATTAATCTCAGAAACATAGTACCTTCTGTCTACCTTTACCCGACTCGATTTAGTATATTAATTATTTTTTGCAAGTAAAGTTGTGCTATATTTTTGTGTAAATTTTAGTCTTTTTATAGTGTTATAACTAAAACAGTGGAACCCACAAAGCAAACGTAGCTGTGCAAACCACCCAGATGTTTTTTTATATATGTGGCAAATATATTTTAAAAGAAAGTGGAAAAACTATTTCTGACTTTGTGAAAAAGGCATATCTTGCCTATTTTGAAGTTCATTTGGGAGATCAGGATAAATCTAGCGCTCCACATGTCGTGTGTAAGAAAATGTTTAGGTACAAGTGACTAATGCGAGAGTAAGAATGAATGTATGTTTGTTAACCTACTTGTAATTAATACTTAACTCCATGTCTTTTTGATATTTTTAACTGACAATAGTAATAGTTATAACGTAAAATATATGCAAGTTATAAAATAGTAAATATATTGTCTTATAGAAGTTACTTTAAAAAACCGATTTCAAAATCGTGCAGATGCTCTTAATAAATGAGATTTTGATTTTCTTATAGATCATCAGATCCTTACCAATCGTATGCGGAAGTACTCCTGAGGTATCCCCTTACTAACAAAAAATAATCACATAAATCGGACAACGTGATAAAGAATTATCTCTAAAAATAATTAAAAAACGAAGAGTTTGACTATTTTCTTATGTATGGACTCCATTATTAGATATTGACCAACTTTATATGGGGCCCCCTTTGAGGTACCCTCTTTCTAACAAGCAAGAAATCATAGAAATCGAACAACATAGTGAAGAATTATCGCTGAACATAAAACAAAATATTCCCACGAATTGAGAACCTTCTCCTTTTTTGGAGTCGGTTAAAAACTATATCTGCTAGACGAAAGCTGCACCCAAAAATTACCCAGAAATAATTAAAAAATCGCAGGTAACATAAGTATGTTGGCTTGTGTTAATCATTGTTTAACTTCAAAACCCCTCCTTATAAATTTTTTGGCTACGTTACTGATAGACGCCTATCAATTATTTTAATTTCTTTGAACGATCCAAAGAAAAACTAGACAAAGCTGATTCAAGTTATTCGTTAAATATTTTGAAAAACTTATAATTATTTCCACACAACAAAAAACATTCATTTTTGATATTTTTAATATTAATATCTTTTGCCTTATTAAGCTGGAGTCTCGTGTAAAGAAGAATATAGAAACTAGAAGAAAATGTGTTGTCATAGCAACGTACACAACAATGCACGTGTTTTTGACATTTCAAATTCTTTTTGTCAATGTCATTAAAAAAATGTTAATTTTCAGGTCATGTTTGTGAAACTGAAATAATACTAATTTTAGTAAATAATGAATGTGTGTCATTGTATCAGGATTTATTACATTTTAATAGATAACGAAAACGAAGGCTAGACATAACAAATGAATAAAAATATTGCATAACCTGAAAACATTCAATAATGTTCAAAATTGTAGGACGAATTCTCGGAATTTCCAAAAATATTAAGGTTTCTACTTTAATTTCAAGGAATATATCAAAGTCTCCAAAATCACCTAACATCGGAAGGTCACCATTTACAGTAATTTTCAGTAAAAAGTATTTATTAACTACAAATATCCTAAGCTCGGGAATATTGATGTTCGTTGGTGATCTTGCACAACAAGAGATCGAATATCGTCAGCAAATATTAGAAAAACGATACGACTATGGAAGATTAAGTATTTTTTCTTTTTAAATTGCAATTCTCTTAAACTAAAGTTATTTCATTTTTAGCGCGAATGTTTTTAGTAGGAATAGCTTTAGGACCAATTCATCATTATTATTACGTATGGCTTGCCAAAAAGTGGCCGCAGAGAACGTCGAAAATTATAACATGGAAAATATTACTCGATCAATTCATTATGTCCCCAATATGCATTGCTGCCTTCTTTTTTGGTATGAGTGCTTTAGAAATGAAAAACTTTGTAGAAGCTAGTGAGGAGTTAAAAGAAAAGTTTATACCTATATACACAGTAAGCTAGATAGATATATATATATATATATATATATATATATATATATATATATATATATATATATATATATATATTAACTGTAGTTATTTATTGCCTATAAAACATATTTAAATTAAATTGAGTGGTTCAGTGATAGAGTTGCTTAACCAGCAAAATTTTAAAACAACTGGGGCAAACTTCTAGTTTGGGCGCGGGTTTGTTAGAGATATTGGAAGATATAGGGATACGTGGGAAAACTTTTGACCTTTTTAATAGTTAACTGAACAATAGATTCCAAAGAGTTAAATTGAAAGCGGTGTTCGTCAAGGAACTATAATAGGTCCCACTTTATTAACATATGTAAGCAATTTATATAATTTACAGACCACAGGAGAAATAGTAAGTTTTACAGATGACACTGTGATTTTTTTATGAAGCAGAAACTTTGGACGATCTAAAAGAGAAAACTGATAGACTGGTGTTCACATAAAAAATTAACCATAAACTACAACAAATCTTGTTACCATTTGTCAGCTTCTCTAATAATCTACCTCAATTTAATGACATTAGCTTAATTTATAATAAAAAGAAAATAACATTGAAAAAAAATGAAATAAAATATTTAGGAGTTACCCTAGACTGTCATTTATGTTGAGACGCACATATAAATAACTTAACAAATACCTTAAGACTTCTTATATTTAAATTTAAAGAACTCAAAAATATTTTACAAGTTACTCACCTAAGAACTACTTATTATGTTTTAGTCGCAAAGTCATGTACAATACGCAATTGTCTGTTGGGGTGCTACAACCAAAAAATCACATAACCAAACTTGAAATATTACAAAAGAGAATTCTAAAAATAATACACAACAAAAAAGTTAGATATCCAACATTGTTCGAGGAAGTAAAAATATAATGGATATGACAATTATACATATACTCAGTTATAATTCTAATCTATAAAAATAAATAATTATTAATTAAAATTACCCATAACTATAATACAAGAAGCAAGGATAAAGGAAAAGTTGGTACCCACTTTGTAAATAAAACAATAGAACAACGTTTTTATATTTATTTAGGTGCAAAAATCTTTAATTATCTTCCAGATGTACAAGGCATATTTACAAATCATAAATTCCGTTGAACTCTTTAAATCTATCATCAAAAAAATTCTTATTAATTCAGATAGAAAATCCCAAAGAGAAATAATTGATTAAATATACCAAGTATTTGAATTTATTTAATACAATTTCGTTGTAATTGTATACTTTTTACATGATATTTTTATTTTTTACATCTTTATTATTTATATTTCATATGTATTTTAAATTATGTGTTTTTTAGCTAATTTTATATTGTTATTGTTCAGTAATTATAATTTAATATGTATTCTTTAATTTAATTAGATTTTTAGTTAGATTTTACTTATACAAGTCAAACTTTAATAATGTAACCTACATATTTAAAAAAAAGGTTTCAAAAAAAAGTTAGTAATTCGGCCGCCCATGCGCAACCACATGGTCATAAATGGGCAGCAAATACTTTTAATGAATAAGGTACCTATGTCAATTACTCTATTAATTTAAAATTATTCAAAATGTACCTACAACTATGATGTAACCAAAAAACAAAAATGCTGAATAAAGATTATTATTATTACTAAAACGTATGTCTACACTAATGTGAGACTTTTCATTTGTGTTATGTTAAGGCCGTTGGAGTCTATGCCGGTCGGTAGCCAGGGATGGATTGATATTTTCTTGATAATTCATTGCTTCATTTTCTTTATCTGTCAGAACAAGTGGGAGTAGCAATAAGTATAGACATACGTTTTAGTATCCGCCCAAATTACAAATCTATTACAACTGTTATTCTCGATGATGGTGGGTGAGGTTTTCCTCACCTGTAAGTCTAATGGCACCATCAATCATCTTTAAATCGCCCCGGAGCGCCACGGCAAATAATAATAATAGCCGTCCCTTCCCCTACACAAGTCGTTCAGTCGACTTCAGGGGTTGAAATTCACTCGTAAGGGGGTGAATTAGGGAGAGTATTATTATTATTATATTTAATTTTTTCTTGTTAATTTTATGGTAATTTGTGTTTCTTTGTTTAAACATTCTGTAAGTGTAGGGGTTTTAAATGTTCCTTTTTATGAAACTTGTATTTTAATTGAACAATTGCTCGTTGATAAATAAATGACAAAGTTGCATATACCCTTAAAATTAATCTTTTTCGTTGTCACTATATATAGGTACCAAAAGATTAGACAGGTAAAGTACTTTGATCTCAATTAAGAAATTGGCACTGAACCACTGAATAATTAATCTCTACTGAAAATCACCAATAAATAAATATAATATATATTTTTGTTTTTAGGCAGATTGGTTAGTGTGGCCCCCAACACAGTTTATAAATTTTTATTATGTACCAGTGAAATACCAAGTTCTTTACATAAATGCAATAACTATGTTATACAATGTTTTCTTATCATATATTAAGCATAAACGTATAGAAGAAGATATCAAAACGTATTAGTATTAAATTTATAAATATATTTATATTTTATATAAACATTGTACTTTATTTTTTAATTATTAATTCCAAAACTGTCTTTATTGTATTTAGGACATCAATTATGTTTTTGATGACTGTTTAGTAACATATTTTGAGTAAAAAATATGTAAAAATCTGCAGGTGGCATCAAATATTTAGAAAACAAGTATTACAAATTAAAAATTTAAAAAACCGACTTCAAAAACGTGCAGATGCCATCACCATATCTTAACCAAATTTATATGGGACCACCCCTGAAGTACCCCTTTACTAACAAAAAAAGAATCGTATAAATCGGACAAGGTGGTAAAGCATTATCGCTAAACATACATAAAAAATGAAGAGTTTGAGGATTTTCTCATGGATCCAATTATTAGATTTTGACCAAATTTATATGGGACCACCCCTAATGTAGCCCCTTTCTAACGAAAAAAGAATTAATAAAATCGGACACAGTGTTAAAGAATAATCGCTGAACATACATACATACAAAAAAAAAAAATATCGCGACGAATTGATAACCTCCTCCTTTTTTGAAGTCGGTTAATAAAAGGATCATACACCTGTGTGGCCGTTCAAAAAATTTCATGTAGGGAACGTCTTATAGGCAGGGTCAAAATCCCGCAGGCTATAGTAATATTTTCTATTTCCTTTTCTTTTAGAATGAGACAATGATGTTAAAGATTTTAAAATCTTCCTGAATATTATGTTGCCATTGTGTCCAGTGCCTATTAATGATTTTTATTAGTGGTAAAAAAATTAACTGCACAATAAGTTGCACTTCATTTAATTATAAAAGACAATAACAATAAAAACAATATTTAATTAAAAAATTTAAAATGAAACCTTAATTTGTTTCATGGGTTGCAAATTTTCAGCCACTTGGAAATTACATCCAGTGGTAGATAAAATATCCTCAACACCGACACCTTCAGCTACTTCGATGAGAGTAAGCCCATTTTCTTTATCTACATTAAAAACGGCTTTTTCTGTAATAATCATGTCGACGACCTGTTTTCCTGTTAGTGGTAATGTACAGTTTTCGATAATTTTGTGGCTGCCATCTTTCGCACTGTGTTCCATGCATACAACAACTTTGGTGCCGGGGGCTGCTACTAAATCCATTGCACCGCCCATTCCTTTTACAAGCTTACCCTGAAATAAAAAAAAAAGTAATAGAAATAAAATTTTCACTTTCTACTCCCCTTCGAATTTTATCTCAAAACTTTCTCATACTTTTAGAAGAGTTAAATATAAATAACGAGAGAATTCAATTCACACAAGCAGGTGCAATGGATAGTAATAAAAATATATCCATGACCACATTTTTTATGTTAGTAGTTTTTGAAGTGAAAACTTCTTTTGAGACGCCGTTCATAACTTTCACGTTTGTAACAAACATTATTGTAAAACCCCGCTTTTTGGGACTGATAACAGCTTTTATAATAAAAGTTTTTGGTAAATTACTTCCACTTTTCATTTCTCATTTTGATGGCCGACAGAAATATTCTTAAAATTAAAATTTTAAATAAAAAATGAGATTAAAAATTAACAACAAATTGCGATTTTCTGTTATTTCCAGCAAAACAAGAAGTAAGTTATGTTACAGAATAATTATATCCACTATAAAGAAAATTCAGTTTTAAGCGGTCAATAATTAATGTAGCTTTAATGATACAAAATCTTATTCTTATTTACTAAAGCAGTATAAAATACATTATTTATAGAGCCCAATCATTATTATTCAATCTATTGAACAATCAATATTTATATACTTACAGGAATCATCCAATTTGCCAGATCTCCATATTGTGATACTTCCATTGCACCGAGAATAGTTAAATCAATATGACCACTGGAAATAGAAAACAAAATTTATTTCAGAACATTTTCTAAATTGAGTGTTAATGAAATTAGAATTGATTAATTTTCAATAGTCAAAAGCCAAAAATGGTTTCAGAACGGCAGTAGGAGTCTCATCTTGCAGTTTTTGAATATCGGGAATTAATATGAATTTTTTCGACATTTTTTGTATACTTATTTTTTTTGAGAAAAACTACGAGAGGGTCCAAGAAAAGTCTTGCGAGTGGGCTCTCAAAAAACTCGGCACGCCCCTGTATCTAAATTAGTAATATAGGTTGCAGAGGTTGCCGTTACCCTAGTTCTGTCATTAATAGTAACTAAGAGCTTTTAAATATTTTATAGACTTTATTTGAAAATTCACATTGAAATAATAATAGTGTTGTTTTTAACTAAAAAAATTAGAAGGCTTTCAAAATTTTAAAGAAACAATTCACATTTCCTGATCCATTATTTAAGATAAAAATAAGGCAAGTATATACCGGGTGTCTTAATACTATTAAATTTATTAAAACAATTTTAATTTGGCAAATCCACAAATGTATTTTTTATTGTGCACCTTGTACAACAAAATCGAAGTTTCTTAACGTGAATCGTATTTACTTAACAAGCAACAGAAATTATGAAGATAAATATTTTACAAGTTTAGTTAAGTCCATCTATGGAGACACTGTATACTTTGTTTACTATTAATGATGTCAAATATAAACAGAATCTGTTTTCTACGTTTAACAATTCAATATTGAATTCAGTTCTCTAATTTTTTACACTACATTGCTCTTAGAAATATTTTTGAATTATTTCTAACATTTCAGATCCAGAAATTGTTTAAAGGTTCCATATTGGACTAAGTAATTCTAGTTTTGATCTTACATAAGAATTAAAATTTTATATTTTTTATTTTAAAATTTAAACTTACCCTCTAATCATACCGAAACTTTCATCGCTGCTGAAGTAAGAAGCGCCAGGTATTACAGTAACAGTCTCCTTTCCGGCATTTATTAGATCTGGATCAACTTGTTCAGCTTTAGGGAACGGCCCCAAGCCCAGTATACCATTTTCGGACTGTAAAAATACTTCGATATCCTCGGGGATGTAGTTTGAAGCCAGCATTGGCATACCGATGCCAAGATTAACTAAGGAAGGTGTTAAGAAAAATATATATTTCTTTTAGATTATTCTTAAAGAATATGTTTTTACTCTAGCACATCGTCGGCCTAATTTTAAAACGTCGTCAGTTTTGATTATTTTTTAAAGAATTTGAAAACTATCCAATTTCGGAAAACGCATTGATTTTTTAAATATTATGTGTTGAAATAATTTAATTATAACTAAGTAAGATATGAATTTGTTAATTTTTAGTAAAATTGTTATTATTTTTCGAAATTGTAAAAATAGTCAAAACTGACTTACGTTTTAGAATGGGCCTATTCACTTTCATTTTTGAATGTGAATTATTTATATATTTATAAAGATATTAAACTCTTTTGTCTGGTGGTACTTTTCCCGTTAAGATATTTTTGCTAGAAGTAAGGGAATTCCCATAAAATTCGTTCAGTGACTCATTGCGTCAGAAAACCCCTAATTCCCTTCAGGATAGCTATTCACTAAGTCATGGGAGCGCTCCCATGGGACTGCTCCCATATATTTTGCTCTCTTACTCTTAGGTGGGTATATCGTGCTTACTCACTTTTAGCCCAGGTACATGCGTAGTAAGGTCAGATTTTATACTATGAGAGGGAGAATTGCGGGCTTGCCAGATTAGGTCCGTATTTATCACAAAGCAAATTTGAATTACTAAGGGCTGATTCCACCGTTGAGTTAAACGGAGATTAAAATGACATTGTTAATGTAAAAATGTCATTTTAAACTTCGTTTAACACAACGGTGGATCGGTCCTTAAATAGTAGATCAAAGTTATTCTGTCGACTTGGCAACGTTGGCATGGGAGTATGGGAGCATGTGTCTATTTTCAGATAAAGCTGGAGGCCTTACCTTTTTTAAATTTTAATAAAAACAATTAGTATTACTCAAGCTGAATATTAACAGATCGAAATTTTATTTGAGAAAATGTATCTGGTAAACGTGACAACGTTGTAAGTACTTCTAAATAGTGTTGTCTACACACACTTCTAGAAATAAATGAAACGTTGCCACGTTTACCAGATAAATATTGCAAATCAAATTTCTACTTTTTGATTATGGTTTAAATTACATATATAAATGCAGAAATGCTATATTAGGGATACTTTCGACAACCTCGCCGTCTTTAAGCATAACCGATACGAGACGTGAACGGAATTAGGGATTTTCTGACGCAATGAGTCACTGAAAGAATTTTATGGGAATTCCCTTACTTCTAGCAAAAATATCTTAACGGGAAAAGTACCACCAGACAAAAGAGTTTAATATCTTTATAAATATATAATTAATTCACATTCAAAAATGAAAGTGAACGGGCCCATTAGGCAGACGATATTATAATCAAAAAATTTTTTTAAAGGATACCATACATTCCATTCCTAAATTCGAGAGCTGCTCTCCTAATTATCCTTTCTCTACTCATAGCGCTTGGATTCTTTTTAACAACAGATAATACACTGTCTGACGTTTTTTGGAGAGTTACTTTCTCTATCCGCTTTTCATAATCTTTTCCAAGGATAATTCTATCTACGTAAATACCAGGCAAATGCACCTGATCGGGATCAATGCTGCCCAAAGGGACTATTTCTTCGACTTCGACTATTGTCGTCTTTGCAGCTGTAGCCATTGTAGGATTAAAGTTCCTAGCGGATTTTCTAAAACGAGAGAAAAACCTTGACACTTTATAGGAATTATGTTGATGATTTGCATTTGCACAAAGCCTGCTGATGGATTTATTAATCATACTCGTATTTAGAAACACCACAGTGGCATCTATTTACCATTATATATAGACATTGACAACATTAGCATGTCTTATTTCACATGAATATACATATTAAATATAAGCACATAAAATTATGGAAAACAAATAAATTAACAAATCGACACACTGTAGGACTCACAGTGGGGTTGAAATTCACTATCAACTATCAGAAAATTTCCATAAATAAAGTCACAATCTATCGAAAAAAAAAAAACGTTTTAGATTTGCCAATAGCTCCAGAAGTGCTGTCACCGCAGGTGGAAGACTATTCAAGCGAAGATTCATTGAAAGATTCTGAGGATTATTCTTTTTTTTGTAATGTTATATTAAATGTATTTGTGTAAAAACAAATATAAACGAAGCTGTTTTATAGTAAAATTCGTCTTTTAATCAAATAAATTTTCATTTATATAAGAATTTTAAAGTAAGGAATTACTTAAAATAATTAAATCTATGATTTTTTTTTTTCATTTTATAGCGTTGGGCGGACCGCATAAACTGGCAACGCTGATATTATTCGTTTCCAGCTCACTCTAATGTAGTTTTTACATGCACTTGTGGTAAGGCGTATTGGAAAGCATTCGATAGTCAATACTGCATATTTATATTTATTTAAATAAAATAAGTATATTTAAAAATAACGTGAGTGGTAAGACCTCGTAATATACTTTTCCGTGGATAAATATATTTCTCTATCAAAGTAACAAAAAGCAATATTTAGCACCAGATTCCAAATACATTTTTAGTAGGAATGAATCAGTACATTATAGTATCAATCAAATAAATTAATAACAATAATTAAGTAATTATTAAGTATCAAGACATCTAAATATCGTTTTTAGGACTTTAAAATATCATTTAAAGACACTTAAGAAAAACCTAATTTAAGAGAAAATACGTCATGCTTTAATTTGGTATTAATCTGCATAATTTTGAAGATTATTTACCCAGGTATCCAAAATAAATATTTCACTAATTTATAGAATTTCTTAGATTCAATAATAATTATAGATTCTGTTTGATTTAATATAGAAAATGGGGTTTAAAAAAATTCTAGGAAAGACAAATTACCATTAAATTTGGAGTAACCTTATTAATATTATTTATTCTTGCTTTTAAATGTCTAAAAATTATAGCACAAATTTATAGTAAAATTTTTATACAGAAACATTGTAAATCAGGTCTATTATAAATGTGCCAAAAATGAGATTTTATTTTCATTTGTAACTTTATTTTTAAATGGCAGTCCTCACATATGAACTATGATGGTTCAGGTCTAAAACACATTTTTGGAAAAATATTATCAAAACAATTTTGATTTGTATGTAGAAAAAATCGCAAATTCCAATTTTTTTCATGAAAAACTTTTAACTTTATTTTTTGAGGGTGATATCTCGTCCATATTAGCTACAAGGAGGGTTTAGGGGAATTTTTTATGCAATTTTAATATTTATGGGATAATACAGCCATATACCAAGTTTGGTCTCAATATCTCGACCCGTACTGTCCTAGCCCAAAGAACCAAAACCCAACCAAAATATTGCTTGAAGAAAAATTTACCAATAATACCACACTCCCCTAATTTATTTTTAGTTTTTATTAAACATGCGAATAAGTTTTTAAGAAAATCATTTTTTTATATATTATTAATGTAATTTTTTTTTACCCAAGGCGCCTGGAAAAATATTTTGCACCTCGTCCTCCTATAAGAAGATTAACAAATAAAGCAGGCCATACATTTAAAATATAGCTAAAAACCAGGACATGTTTGGCCTTTATCTGTATGTCTGGTTACCCTACATCTGACTATTTTATTTTGACATATACCCTTTGCATTTCTAGTTGATCAACCATTAATCATTTTCATCTAGACTTAGTTTTCTAAAACCCTGGGTGTCACATTGGTATTGAACACAGTGTATTAAAATCACATGATAATTAACAATTATTGTACTAAATTTGCAAATTTAATTATAATCAGGCTTTTGAATTAATTATCCAATCTACATCCATCATATCATATGAAACTTAATAAAAAATTCTAGAGAATTGAATCAAAATAAATTTCTTATTTATCCTTGACATTGTAATTTTAAAGTTTTTAATGATAATGTGAAATTATGGTTAGTTATTATGGAATATGTTTATATTCAATTCATTATTACAACATTGTTGTTTATAATCGCATCTCAGTTTGCTTTTAATTTTTCTTGATGAAAACAAAATGTACTACAAAATTTCCTTAGCAATAAATAAACAATACAATACTTACCTAAATAATAAATTTCCAACAGGGTCTGACTTCCATGCTTTAATCAGAGCAAAATCGCCAGTAATTGCTTCCTCCAAGATGTATTGTCTTCCATTAAATAGTTGAGATTCTCTTTGCTTACTGGCAATTTCGATTTTGCCTTTGTCATTATATTTAATCGGTGCACCCCCTTCGTGCACGAGTGTTCCGAAAGCAGTTGGTGTGTAGAATGCAGGTATGCCTGCCCCACCGGCTCTAATTCTTTCAGCCAAGGTACCCTGAAAATTAATTGTTCAAATAAAAAAATGGAAATGAAATAAAACAGTAAAAACTGTAATGTTTTATTAGGAAGTTACACTATGCCTACCTGTGGAGTAAGTTCTACTTCTAATTGCCCACTTAAAAACTGTTTTTCAAATTCAACATTCTCTCCTACATATGACGAAATCATTCTTTTAATCTTTTTTTGCTTTAACAATAAACCTAACCCGAAAGTATCTACGCCTGCATTGTTGGAAATGACTGTATAATCCTTGCATTCATGTTTAAGTAAACCAGATATAAGATTTTCTGGTATACCGCAAAGTCCAAAACCTACGAAATAAATAAGGGTAACGAACAGGCTGGCTTATAAAAGTATTAATATATAACGTTATTACCTCCTACTAATAGTTTTGCTCCACTAGGAATATCTTTAATAGCATCTTCCACATTGCAAAATATTTTCGTTTTCTTTTTGGTGGAGTAGCAACAAATTGATATCTAAAAATGTACTATTAATTTCAGAACAAAAAATAAAATATAAAGTTTTACCTTGGTTATATTTCGTGATGTAGCCGACTGCTTCAAAAATATTTGTAGACCTACGGTTTTTCCTAAAGGTGCTAAAGCCGCACTTTTCAACATTTTAAAACCTATTTAGCTAAATAAAAATTGGAAGAATGCAAAGTAAAGTCGATGTCACGCTATACCACAGTACAAATTATAAACTCAAAACTGATATACTGATAACATATTTGTTGCGAGTTAAAAATACAATTTAAAAATCATTGGATTGTAAAATCAAACTAAAAGGTTATCTCCATTATCTAGCTATTTATTTAAAAAAATTGACAGATAGTGCATAAAAACCCTATTAAGAAACTAGTAAATATTAAAAAAACTCACTTTGTAAATATTCGTGTTTTATACTTTATATTTGATTGCAGTAAAGTTGTGAATAATTTTAATAAATTTTCGTCGTAAATGAAAATAATTAACGAAATTATGATCGAAAAACATTAATATTTTAAATTTAAAAGTATGATAATCTCCTTCTCCTCTAATAGACGTACAGGATTGGATTTATAGCCACTATCAATAACGTCATGGACAGCTTGAACCTTTCATATATGCAACCAACATTGCACACACACGTGAAATAGCGATTTTTGTACATGGGCGCCGCCGGAATTTTTCTAGGGGGACAATTATTAACCGTAAAAGCCATAATACATGCTAAATTTTATTTAATAGATAAGAAATTCGGACTCTAATGATCATTGAAGCTTATTCCTTACAATTGGTGGTAAAACTTGATATTTTTGCAAACTTGAAGAGGGTCCTACTCTTCCTTTATGGAGAATTATAACTCGGTTAAATTTTCTCGAAGTTTCACATTGTACCTAATACCTACTTTCCACGTCTATAACAAAATTTATGATATACAGATAAACAGAGTTTTGAAATCGCAAGTTGGACCATTTTTACTTTGATATCAGATATTTTCCAAAAATAATAATTGTTGCGGTTAACGTTTAACTTTATTTTGAGAAGACCATGAGTTTTTGGGCATTTTAGCAAAGATGGCGTGATTATTCGAAGTTTATGTGGATTTTAACAAACTTTCATGTATGGTTCGAATAGTCAAATTACCTTCAGAGTAGTAGATTAAAAATTCTACTCGAGTTGACTACTTCTCACGTGATGAGTCCCAAATAAAGCGAAATCGGTCGTGGAATGTTAACTCATTAATTGCCAAAATCAAAGAGTTTGTTGTATCGATAAAGTCGGTCGCAAACGCATTTTATAACGTGCTGTTGAGCATATATAGCCCTGGGGAAGTACTTGTTTGTTGTTATAAGGTGGCCGAACAATTTCCCGAGTTAAAATCGGGACTGGAAGCATGACACGCCGTTTATTTTTGACCTTGACTTCATCTTGAGATGTTAAATTAATAAAAACTTACAAACAAAATTTAATTAAAATTCATAATAGGCGTGGAATATTCAGTACAGAAAGTACCTACCTAACAGTAACAGAGAATATAATTTGTTAGATCCTTATTTTAATTTACGTTATTTTAGGAATTTGACTAATACGAATTACTGTATATTTACACATTAATAAAAATCATTTACTGCAAACCAGTCTATTGCTGGTAGCAAAATATAAATTCCCAACAATAATGCTTTACTGATATCAAACAAAATTTCCAATTAAACCTTTGACGTAAATATTATTATTAGTTAATTAGGATAAGTCGCACATTAGCACATTAGTGAAAATGGGATTTTAATTTTTATTTCGAGATGGGAATATTCTCCAAATTAACGTCACTAAATCAAAAAAATGTTTTTTAGATAGGTATCTGTCTCGTCCTATGTTTTAACATTTCATCGGTTAAAATGCGTAATTTTTTACATTACCTTTATTTTTGGTTTGCTAATACAGTGTAAAAGTTATATACAAGGGTGGTCCAAGTAATTGTACATAGAAGTATTATAGTAAATATGTGACTTTAAAATTTACTTAATAAAATATTGATAACAAAACAAACACAGGGTGATATTTTAAAGTTTATTTTTGGTAATAACTAACGTTTTTGGAGATTTATAATAAAAAAAATAAAATTGATGGTTTTGGGTATGAAAAATTATCAATTTTTAACAGGTTATTGATTTGGACTGTGGACATTGTAGGTAAAAGGACTTTTAAAACTAGCTTTGAAAATCTAGGCAATCTATAAGTATGAATTTAATATTAACATCATCCATTCCATAAGCTTTAGAGATTTGATGTTGTAGATAATATTATTGACATCTTCCGAAACATCATTAAAATAAAAATCTTCAGTAATATTTTCTTTAAAATTGTTAAGGCAAAAATATAAATCTAATTGTATAGCAGAGTTATTAATTTTTGAAGTAAAAAAATTGTTAATGGCATATTAACATCTTTTAGGTTTGGAGGTTTGTCTCGATATATTGAGTTTTTTTTTTTAATTCTGACTATTTTTCCTTAATATATTACAAAATTGAAATTTTAAATTTAAGTAAGCCTTGTTTGTCCTTTTATAGCTGTTGTTGTGTAGTTTCTTAATTGTTTATAGTAATCCCGATGCGTTGGAAGTTATGTTTTGCGAAATTTTTGCAAGGCTTTATCTCTAAGCCTTTGCATATAAATAATATTTTCAAGGGAGAATGTTTAATTAGTTTTCTAGGCTTTGATTTTTTTGGAGCATGTATATCTAAACCTGTAATTATGTAGCTATTTAAAAACTCTACATTTTTATCAATTTTTTCAGTAAAATAAATATTGTACCAGGGCATAGATGCCAAATGATTTTGAAAATGTGCATGATTAATCTTTAAAGTCGTTTTAAAGTACATTGGGAACATTTTTAAATTGGCAGTTTATTGTTAAATGATCCACAACTAGATTAACAAATTCTGTAAAGAAATTGATATTAATAATAAATAAATCTAACAAAGAGTTACCCCTTGTTGGTTCTTTAATTATTTGTATTAGATCAAATGTTTCAAGTATCTTGTTGAAACGAATTGTAGTAGAATCATCAATATCCAACATGTCTATATTAAAATCTCCTACACATGTAATATAATCAAAGTTTGAAAAAATGTTGGAAAACAGAGTTTCAACTTGATCCAAAAATAATAAATTATTACCTCTTGGTTGCCCTAATGTAGTTGACAACGTCGTCAAGAAAGGTTCTTTTCTTATATCGGCCAGTGTTAGCACTGTTAGCTGATACTCGCTGAACACAAATATTTTAATAAGAGTGTCAGCCCCATAGGAGATGCTTCCGTACTTGGCAATGACTAATCAGAATGCCTGTGAGCAGGCACATATTCTGTCTAATCATAGTCAAGTATTTGTTTGCTGAAGTATTGTCAAGATAACTTAAAATATCTTTGGCAAATCTGCATTTTCTTGTTTCATCCCATCATTCCTTTCCTTGAATTTTACAAGGGAATGTTCTTTAATTTAGGTCTATCACTACCAATCTTGTCAGTCAAATAGAAGGATCAGGTCCAAAAAGTATTTGGTTGGCTACCTTATTCTTGGCTACTGAATCAGCAAGACGGTTACCTTTCGATGTTGCGTGACATTTGATCCATCTTAAAGTGACTATATTGTTGATGAATACTTCGGCAGAGTAAGTGTTCTGTGACTTCGGCCAAAGCTTTGTGACATTATAGTACTAACCCTGAGTAAATTCATGATCTGTCCCAGGGTAAATAGGGCTTGTATAGATAATCATGTTCCTTCCAGTGATATTATTTCTGGTAACTTCTTTTGCTGCTATGAGACTCCCCCTGAGCTCGGATTGAACTACACTGGCTCACAGTTTATTTTATATTTAGGTTTAAGGATCTGGAGTTTATTATTTGTAAGTCTAAAATTAAAGACTTTAATAAAAAAACATTTGATTGTTTTTATAAAATGTCAACCCCCTTGTTTCAACGCCACGCTATGCCACTGAGGCCTATAGTCAAACTCAAAACCCTTTATAACAAAAGGTAGTCATTGGAAGGAGTTAGAATGCAAAGGGGGTAACTGCACCCTTTATTCCCCTCTCCACTGGCGGCGCCCATGTTACTTATGGTGTCTTTTATTTCTCACCATTTCTAGTTTTTTGATCTCTAAAAATAGGTAGGTATCCAAGGAAAATTAAAGTCAAGATTTGTAACCAATAATTTATATTATACAATTTTATAATTAAAGTAATACCTACTATAAAAAAAATAATATTTGACTATAAATAGCGCAGAAGTATTAAAACCAATCTTACAAAAGCCTAAAATATGTTTAAATTAAGATGTGTAAGTTACAAAATACTACTGAGGACTTTTAATTTAATATAACATTTTTATTTTATTATAACATCGAAATATAATCTTCTTTTTTAAACTAAAGGAACAAAATTATTTAATATTCGTGATTTTATTCCAAAATATCTAATTAAACCATATTTAAGACACACTCCTGCTTTTCTCTCACAATTTTTTTATTACATACCAAGATTGGCATTTCTGTCAAATATTTAAGTGTAGGCAATTTTTAGATTTACAAAAAATACAAAGTTAAAAATAGTTTTATAATATTAAATAGAACAAATACCTATTAATACTATTGAGAAATTGCAATTAAATACGAGGGAGTTCAAAAAAGGAGTAAACATAAGTATATATAATATTTAATGATCCTTTTATCTTAGGTTTCTGAAATAATACATGAACAGAGAGCACTATTTTAACAAAATTTAACAAATTTAATGGTATAGTAGTTAATAAATAATATATGTATCACTTTTACATTTATATTTAAGATCGACAACGTGGACCACAACTATCATAAATATAAAAAATAATTATCCCTACTAATTTTCGAACATCCCTCGTAATGTACATATACATTTTTTTTCCTGGCACATATTGTTTATTATAACCTTCCATCTCTTGCATCAGTGATTGCCCCCCAAAGTTCAATGATAATCTCGTCGCTGAATTCGAAAACGGCGAGATCCGATTCATCTATGGATTCAGCAAAATCCATGGAATTCTGTTTGCCCACCGATAATTCCCATATCTGCGCCGACAGCTCGGAGTCGTTGATGCCCATGAACGATTCTAGAATGTTGTTGATTTTTTCGACACCAGCGTCCATCATCGAGTCCTAAAACGAGGAAAAACTAGTAAGAAAATAGTTCAAATATAGAGCTATTAGATTACTTTAACAAAAAATGATTATTAACATCCCTAACAGCTCAGAAGACAGGGGTCGATTTTGAGTAGTATTTTTATGTCGCTAGAATTTTAACTATAGTTATCTATGCAACCAATATTACTTCTTTGATTGTTAGTTGCATAACTTCATTTATTTTATTGACAAATAGAAAATCATATAATTTATTCTCAACCACTTGTTGTAGTGTGTTTATATTGATTTTTTTTGTAAAGATTTAAAATGGAAAATAAGTACCAAAACAGAATTATTATTAGGTTGTAAATTCACTAACAAAAGCTATTTTTAGCCAACTTTCTTTGCTTTGATGTAAACTTTCAATAACAATGTATATACTGAGTGTTTATTAACTGAGTGCCCGATACTTAAGGGTGATTTTAAGAAGAAAAGTTAATATCAACATAGGTATGTCGTAAACCTCTTAATTTTTGTGCTATAATTTTAAGAAAAAAAGGAAGCTTTAAAAACAAATTGAATCGGTGAGTGAAAGAAAAATAAAGTGTCAAAAACGGTAATTTTAACCGAGATAGCCAAATTTTTTAAAATTCATAGGCCTATCACATAGCGAAAGAATAATACACCGACCATCATCATACGAGCGATGGGGGCTTGTTCAATTTTCGGCTGAGTGAAAAAACAGTATACGTACGGCGCATGTACTGTTTTTTCACTCAGTAGCCATGTCGTTTCGTGGACAAATTTGACACAGATTTCAAAAACTGGTGGTCGCAATTTCATAAAAAACCTCTAAAACAGCTGATGAATAAAAAGCTAATTTTGTCATTCCGCAGTACAGCCAGTTTACATAAACTGGTAAAACTCCTGGATATGTTACTACAAGTGCCTTCATAGGCGGTTTTTTCTCGCACACTTTTATGGGTGGGGCGCAATAGACTGATCAAACCTAATGCCAATCTGCAGTTACCCTTATGGCGGGCATACACGCTACGGTCTGTCTGTGCAGGTGTGCTTGCACTGGTAGACATACACGCTACGACGTGAAGCCGACCTGCGCAGGAACAAATGCACAGGTAGACCTCTCCGGTGGACTGTTGCGTGTATACCCGCCATTAGAAAAGGCATACTCAGAAGTTGTCCCTATTAATGTAAAGAAGATAGCCAATATAAAGATACTTTTATCCTACTTTAGTGATGAAATCCTAGAGTTTTACTACCATATATTATTTCTTGAAAAGTCAAAAATGAAGATTCTGATTAAAAAATTACAAATAACTTTGTTAAATAATAATCAATAAAGCTACAAAAAAATTTTAAGCGTTTTTTTTAAATTGAGTGAAAGAACAGTATAACTGCAAGTCATTTTTTTCAAATATCATTTTTTGCATAATTTTCTTTTTAAATTTATGTACATTATTATCGGTTAACAAAAATTCTATAACTTCACAATACATTATTATGCGGAAAAACCTATAGTTCTCCTCTAAAATAGTTTTTTTGTTTTTCTCAAAATGTTCATTCTGGATATGTATTGTTCTTTCACTCACCGATTCAATTTAATTTACCTGCTCTTGGATTTCAGCTTTCCCACTCGCTTTGAACCTTAAAGTCTCTTTACCACTACCGTAACCCTTTTTCGTACCATTTGTTTTATTTAGTTTGGGTGCTATACTAGAAAATCCGCTTTTCATTGGTTCGACCAATCGAATTGTAAAGGTGGCTCCTTTTGGAATATCTTTAAGTGCTTTGGCCACTTCAAAATGTCGTTTTCCAACCATGTTTTGTCCGTCGAGTTTTTCTATATGGTCTCCTACCTAAAAAATAATGTCTACGATTTACACTAGAATAAAATTGTGTTTTTTTAGTATTATTTTTTAGCAAAGGTTCTTGCATAGAGCTAAGTAAACGTAAACAAGTACAATATGGGATCTGAATTAGAGAAAAGCATTTTTAAATTTCCTCATTTGGAAAATCTTAAAAATAGAAACGTCATTATAATGAATGTCCGATATAGTTCGATAATATTTCACGAACTGTTATTTAAGCTTGATAAAATAACATTTTTTACAACTTTTTCTATTGATTTCTTAAATGTTTTCCAGGAAACTATGACTTTCGTTTGAATAAGGAATGACATTTGCTTCAAAATATCAATATGAACCAGATAGCCTTTGGACTTTCACCTCGAAAGACAGTTAAGTTAGACATCTATTTTAGAAATATACAGGGACGTATCGTCTTGAATTATTTATACACAGAAATCTACGCAAGCCTAAATGGTGAAATTTAATAGTGAGCTATCCAACTGGTAAATTGACACTGTTCGTTAACTCAAGGTAGGGAGGCAAAGCATTCAGTATTCTACCGAAAAATTGTTTATTTCTAACTTTATTTTACATACCTTACCTGTATGTGTGGTATATTATAAATGACAGATCCTTCTTTTATTCTTTTAATGAAAGCATATCCTGCGCCATTATCAGTGATTGTAAGCCCTAGTGCATCTTCTGATTTTGTTAATTCCACTTCTTTAGGCCTGCCTGAAAAGATACTCAGTATTAAAGAAAAAGTTACTAGGATTTAGACTTATAGGAGGTCAAATTGACGATATAATAAAGAAGATTTATGAATTATATAAATATTTATGTGCCCTTGTAATGATATTTATAATTATCAAAGTAAAAAAATACATCTAGTTAAATTTGCATGAGTAGCAATTATTATTATTAATTATTATTATAAATGGGTATATTTTACCTTTTCTGTGAGCGAATATAAAGTCTTCCAAACCGATCTGACCTCCAAGAAGTTTCTTCATGTCTGTCTTGTAGGTATTTAATGTACAAAATAAAATCTGGAAGAAAAAAGTAGTTTATATTGTCTTAAAGAACAGAAGTAATCAAAATTGTAAGAAATAATTATGATTAATGTGGTACGGTTTTTGGAAAAATGAAATATCTCAGAAAATGTTGACAAAATGTTATGAAGAGTTTTGGGACATAGACCTTACATTTTTCAGAGTTCTATCACCCGTATGACTTGTATCTAGCTGTACGTGTTTAATCACCGTTATGTTATATATCTACTGCACTATTTAGATAATTTCTTTTTACTGTAAAGATGCATTAACGTTGTGTCGATTGTGATTCATAGGTACGTACCTATTTTAAAGAAAATGTTATAAAAACCATTATTTATTCTAGATTTAAATTTTTTGACTTTTACTTATTGATCTTGGTCAACTGTGAAAGATATTCAATTAAAAAATGTTTCTAGACTAAAGTCTGACTGGGAACTAATTAATAAGGTATAGAATTATCAGAAACGTTAGTAATGTTATTAGCAATCGTTTAGAAAATTTTCATATACCGGGTGTTCAAATTAAAGTGTTACAGTTAAATACCGCCTTTTATAAAAAAACGTTTCAGACGAAAATTTTATAGATTTTTGGGGAAAAAATTTAGCTAAAATCGTTTTTTTATAGCTAACCATAATATGGTCTACTTTTTTTTCGCGTAGCAAAATAAGTAGGAGCCAATAAAAAAAATGTTTTCTTTAAAACTTTATTTTTTTATGAACTCTAAGAATATGTAAAAAATGGGGTTCCCATTTGAAAAAAAAAAATAATCACCTCGATATGGCCATATTATGGTCAGCTATAAAAAAAATAATCTAGCCAAAATGTTTCCTCCAAAAACTATAAAACTTTTGTCTGAAACTTTTTTTTTATAAAATGCATATTTTCGGCGCTATGTAACTATAACACTTTAATTTGAACACCCGGTATAAATTTTATGAAGAACAAAAAATGTTCCTAAAGTATCATGATTGACAAAGACAGCTAAGAATTACCTATGCCCCGGATATAATGTCCGTGCTAACTACGCACGGCTTTAAATTAAGTCCAAACTTACCCAGGCAGCACACATTAGTATAACTTACGTATTTTATACGTAATACTCGTTTAATTTTGGTATTGGTTGATTCCGTATACGTTTACAGTTTACGATTATTATACATACCGTGTTTTAAACGATATATTATACGTTTTTTATATACATCCTATGGTATATAATTGTAAATTTTTCTACGTTTAAATATAGTTAACAATATACGACTATTTTTAGTTTGCGATGAACTATTTATATACAGTGGGCCTAAATATACGTTTAGGTTTATTTAAATTAAATTCGTATAAATTTACATTATATTACAATATGTTTTCTTCGTTTATAATTCCCGTTTAAATTTCGTCTTGGTTGATTTTTTAAACGTTTACCATCTACCATTTTTATACTTAACGTTTTTTAACAAATAAATTAAACGCTTCTGTTTGTCGATACTAGTTAATATACCTATATTATTCTACGTTTAAATATAAGTCACCATAAACGCATAATAGCAGTTTACGATGAACTAGTAGACAGAAGTAAATAATGTGTATATATTTAGGTTTATTTAAATTAAAAGCTTATAGATATATTTATTTACATTACATCCATATTTTTTAAATTATATTACCTGTAATATTTATAACAAATTCCCCATACACATGGAACTATTTTTAGATGGCGGATGGAGGATGACGTACTAGTGGTACGGTCTTTTCTCATTTCTACTCATGCGTATGTGTAGTATTATTGTTCAGTGTAGGGAATGGTTTGTGGGAGCAGGTTCATCGGTTCGTCCATTTTAATTTGTGTACACGTTTTGTTGCGTCCTGGCTTTTACAATATTGATTAAAAGCGTAGGTAAGTTTCTATTAATGTTTTAATTTAGCTACTCCTTTGATAATTGTTGCATTTTACAACAACTACTGTTTTATAGGTATGTACAGTGTGTTAAATACTTATAGAAACATCAAAACATAACCTTACTTTTGTTTCTTTTATTTTTATACGTATTTTTTAGGATACCTAGTTATTCCAAACATACTTACTTTCCTTTTTTTGGTCAGTTGTTTTTCATTTAATAAAATATCTAAAATAACCCTGTCTCTGCGTCATCTACGTAGAAAAATAGCGTAAAATGTTCAAGATGCTTTAAAGTCAAATCAATTTTTTTTTTATTACCAATGAAGATAACATTAATAAGGCTTCGGATATTAATAGATCATCTGATTCTATTATTTATAATAATTTCCAAGAAAATAATACAAATTTAACTTCGGAGCTTTTAGAAAATATTTCACCTGAAATTGAGTTAAATTTTGGTTATAGGAATGGGGGTGAACCAAGCGACTTAACCGACCGAACGATTAGGTGTGCCATGGACACAACACATCCAAAGTGTTAAGCTAAGATTTTTATTTTCATATATATTTTTTGTTAGTTAAAAAAAAGTTTCGTTTAGTTTGTTATTCAGTATTTTAGTGTTTATTTTTTTGTATTTATTTATTTTTTAGTATTTTATTGTTTATTTTTTTTTTTAATTAAATATTGTTCTGTACTTATAACAAGTGATCAAAAAATTTTTCTAAATATTTAGACCAATTACAACCAAAATAGAAACACGAATAATGCCTATTTCTGGTGTATAGACACCTGCTATGGATAAAATCCAAACTATCATTTAAGATATATTAACATTTTTCCATGGCCTCTTTTAGAAATTTTGTTTTGATCACTTTATTTAATTTGTGTTTGAAATACATTTAAAACAATATCAGGTAGACTCATTTTACACATTAATAAAAATCATACAAATATATAGATATATTTGTATGATACGTCTATATTAGAATATAGACGTATAGTAAAACAGGATAATTAAAGGTAGATAAAGTAGTAATGTTAAACGTATAAAAAATAAAAAAATATACGTTTATAGGGCGGACATTTTCACGTATATATTGGGTAGCATATCAACAGTATCCATACGTATATTGTAGTACATAAAAAAACGTATTTTATACCAAAGTGAATTCGTATAAATATACTACAACTATAAATCTCATATAGACGTATAGTAAAAACGTTAAATTATAGGTGGATAAATTCTTAGTAATCGACGTTTATAAGGCGGACATTTTCACGAATATATTTGGTAGTACATCAACCGTATTCATACGTATGGTAGTACCTAAAAAAAAACGTAATTTATACCAAAGTGTGCTGCCTGGGTATACTTAAAAACAGAAAAAATTGGAATTGGATCGTTGGAATGTCTAATAATCCAACTCGTTCGTAAACTGTCGGCACTAAAGTCAGTGGTCCGTCGGGTACCTAAACCTAGTAATCTGAATTTGTATTCTATAGTAAGTTTCCGAAAACACCTATTATGTAATTTGTATGATTTCTTCAAATATCAACAAGCCTATGAGTTTGTTATAAATTGAAGCTGGTAAAACAAGTTATTTTGTCGTAGTGTACATAAAGGCGCATACCAGTAATTCGCACAACCCTGTATACTATCATCTGGATGATTAATTTATTTCAATTAGAAGTGGTTATATTGTTCTTACGTTCTATCTAAACCGACCCTGCACATCTTAATGCACAATCATGACCTACTACACAGACAATAGATATTTTTATCTATTTCACAATCTTTTATATACCCAACCTTTCTATTAATCTAGTCTATAATCAATTTATCTAATAGAAAAAAATCATTGAAAAATATCTCAATTATCCAATTATTTTCTATTTGAGATAAGACATAAAGAATGCTTCTAAATTGCATCTGTTTTATTTATAGCTACATGTAGCGGTAGATGATTTTATTCTTAGTGTCAAAAATAATTAACAACCGTACATGAAGGATTATTTAACAATGTTAAACAACAGGTGTAGAGTGTACTGTTACCATGACAACAGATACCAAGCGTGAAGACAAATATTTTAACGACGTAGGCAGTAATTGGAGACAATCCATCATGAAAACCATGAGTGTTGCCTCATGGTGATTAATTTATTAAAGAAATCAAAACAATTTAGATTACTGTAACGTTGTTGTAGGTTTAATTTTTGTTTTCTAAATTTCATTCATGTTTCGACAATTAGGCATGAATGGAATTTAAAAATCCAACGATCTACCTACCAAATAATAACTGTCTGTGGGAAGGGCTCGTATATCTAAGGGGGTTGCGACATAGCCTTCCATCTTGGAACCTCTCTTAGATATACAAACTAAAGAAGTGGAGATGGTAGAATGATAAGGTATCGTTTGCGCATCCATCATGCAGAAATTATGCATGATTCAACCTTCCACTCTTACACACGTAAATGACAAGGAGAGGTTGTCCTAACGCACTGTAAACAAACAGGGTCCTCGATACCATATGTGTAAAGTGTGCAATGCACACGGGCGCCATCCTTTAGGGGCGCCAAAACTTTAGAATATTGGTAAAACGTGGCCGCCCTTGATAGACATCAGTTTTAGCTTTCTTAGTAATAAAGATAAGAGAAAGTTTTCGTGCAAATACTTTGTAAGAAGTCTAGCAAATGGAGAAAAAGTCGAAAGGACTTGGCTTGTTTACTCTATTTCTAAAGATTCTGTATTTTGTTTTTGTTGTAAGTTGTTTTGTAAAACTTTTTGTGATACAAATGGAGTATCTGATTGGCAACACTTGTCTTTGCTAATGAAAAGACACGAAACGTTATATGAACACTTGGGTAAATTAAAAAAAAAATGTTGGAGACATCTTACGACTGTTAATGCTCATCACCTGCGGATTTTAGAAACGGAAAAAAATTGGCGCGACGTGTTGGAAAGAATTATTGCGGCGATTGTTAAGTATTTATATACACAATGCTTGGCATTTCAAGGTTCTTCTTTTCGAATATGATAATGGAAATTTTCTAAAAGCTGTTGAGATGATTGTCTCTTTTGATTCAGTGATGAGACAGCACG